CATAAGACTGCTGAGAGCATAAAGATTGCTATATTTTATTTTATCTACGGTATCATGTGGCTTTGTCACTACCATTCAATAAACAGAGTTGTGAGGTTCAGGATACCATGACAGAAAGAACCAAGTTTTTCCTTTAACAGAAGAATAAGCTGAGAGAGGTGGCTCACACCTGTAATCCCAGCACTTTGGGAGGCCCAGATGGAAGAACTGCTCGAGCCAAGGAGTTTGAGACTAGTCTGGGAAACATGGAGAGACCTTGTGTCTACAAAAAAACCCCACAAAATTAGCCAGGTGTGGTGGCGCATGTCTGTAGTTCCAGCTACTTGGGAGGCTGAGGTGTGAGGATCACTTGAGCCCAGGAAGTCGAGGGTGCAATGAGCCACGATCATGCCACTGCACTCCAGGATGTCAGGGTAAGACCCTGTCTCAAAACAAACAAACAAACAAGCAAAAAATACAGGAAGATGTAAATGTTTTTTAAGGGAGGGCTGCCAAGGCAATCACTCAATGCTTACTGCATCTGTGATTCTTAACTTTCACAAAGGACATGAAACCATCTGAGAATCTAAGAAAATGGAACTTCGTACTAGAGAAACGCATGTGGCCCATAAAAACTTGAATATAGTTTCGGGATTTCAGACTCTATACTGCAAGAATCCCTGTGCTACATATTACAATGTGACATCTTGAGGAAAAATATGTCTATAACTCTGTCCCATATTGGTTTGTGTCCCTAGAGTCATATATATTCCACAAAAGTCTGATAATTTTGTCCTAATACTATATTTAAAATGTCTAAGCAGAATGAATAATTAACACCAAATTAAGAATAATTCAGATGTTCTGCATTCTGATCCAATTAGTCATAGTTCTCAAATTAACTTACATCTCCCATTACATTGTAATGACTATAATAGTCATTACAATTACTATTCTTTCTTTGAGACTCTTGGCAGAAGTATCCCAAAGAACAGGAATTATACCTTTAACTCTGCTCTCTCCCTGATAAAAATGCATTAAACTTGGAATGTTGCATTTTCCAAAAAGTGACAAAACCACTTGAAAAGATACATATTTTGCCTGAAAATGTAAACTATTAATACAAATATAAGAAAGCAAATGAGTAATCTATATAAATGTCTGGATAGAAATATACAGAATCATAATGTTTTAGGTTTGAGATCTGGTCAACCCTTCTTATTTTAGGAATAATAGTGCGAAATGATTAAGTGGATTACTGCAGTTCTCCAAATTACACCCCTCCTTTTACTTACAGAAATTAGTGAGGAGATTTTACTATGTCTTCAACCAAAAACAAAGTTTAAGTCTAAAATCCTGTCTTTTAATGAGGGTTAATAACTATGTGTGTGTTCAAAGTAGATAAAGGATACAAAGCAACTACTTCAAGTCATTCAAAAAGCTCAACCATTAAAAGAACTAATAATTGCATGTTTTCCCCCTAAATGTACTCAGCTAGATCCTTCTAAGCTTTTAATTCACATTTCACACTTAATTGATGTTATGCAAAGTATGTTTTTAAACATGATTCAGGAATATCAAATACAGCTTTACACAACTCATGTAATTCCCATATTTATGTAAGTATACAAATAAGCAACATGAACTGCCAGATGCTTTGGGAAGAAAATTACCAGAAAAAAAATTTTTGTTAAGTCTTCCACATCTAATTGAAACATCAGTTCCAGGGAGTATTTGGAGAAGCATCAATCCAACAGCTTAACATAAATCAGGAACAAAAATGACTCAAGTATGACATTTTTATTCCTGAAGCAAAAATACACTGAAACAGTTTCCACTTCCGGTCAAGACAGAGTAACAGGGACCAGATTTCCTGTCCTACCTTAAACTACCAGAAAGCTGAACAAAACACACAAAGTTTCAGACACTCAACAATAGTCATAGTATGAGAAAAAGAAGGCAAAGGAGGTGACTCCAACAACTGCCCCTGCTTACTGCCAAGTTTCCAGACTATAGCACAGGGAGGGGACACCCAAACAGCTCGGAAGTCACCCTGAGCAGCTGAGATGGGAGTGAGAATTTAGGGAGGCCACACTGGCTGAATTCACAGGAAGAGTACCTGAGAAGAGAGTGCTGCAGACCAGCACGGGCTCCCTCAAGTTTTCAGCTGGCACTGAACAGCACATGCATATGAGAAAACTATCCAAATCCCAGAGAAAAAACATTGAAAAGGAATAGGTAAAAATTCGCAGAGTTAATTACAGATTACTCCTATCTATAATCCCAGTGACTCAGGAAGCAGAAAGGAAGGATTGCTTGAGCCCACCAGGAGACCAACCTGGGCAACACAGCAAGAAAAGTAAATAAAAATAAATAAGTTCCATGTATTAAACATTTTTTAAGGATTAGCCAGGCATGGTGGTATATGCATGTGGTCGCAGCTACTTGGGAGGCTAAGGTGGGATGACTGCCTGAGCCTGGGAGGTTGAGGCTGTAGTGAGCTATGATCACACCACTGTCCTCTGGCCTGGGTAACAGACCCCGTCTGAAAAAAGAAAAAAACAATTCCCAAAGCTAACACACAAAAAAGAATAGTTTTCACACAAGCCAGAGTAGGAAAACCTCAAAATACACAGGGTACATATAAATACTCAGGGTGAAATGCCTCAATAATGGGGCAAAATCAGTCCATTAATATATATTATTATTTTTTTTAAAAAGGCAAACCATAGACTAAGATAACATATTTCTAGGCATAAATCTGACAAAGGACTGTACCTAGACAACACACACGCACGCGCACACACACACACACACAGAACAGTAATAAAGATAACCCAATTAAAAAGCAGACAAAATATTTAAAGACTTCACTAAAGTAGATATATAGATGTAAACAAGCACATGAAAAGATGCTCAGTATCACTGATCATTATGAAAATGCAAACTAAAACCACAACAAAGTACTACTACACACCCATTAGAATGGTTAAAATTAAAAAGGCCTGCCATATCAAGTGTTGGCAGGATGTGGAACAACTGAAACTCTCATATATTGGTGGGAAAAGCTTGGCAGTTTCTTAAAAAGTGAAAACTACGGTCGGGCACAGTGGCTCATGCCTGTAATCCCAGCACTTTGGGAGGCCAAGGCGGGAGGATTATCTGAAGTCAGGAGTTCGAGACCAGTCTGGCCAACATGATGAAACCCAGTCTCTACTAAAAGTACAAAAATTAGCTGGGCGTGGTGGCACATGCCTGTAATCCCAGCTTCTTGGGAGGCTGAGCCAGGAGAACTGCTTGAGCCCACGAGACAGAGGTTGCAGTGAGCCAAGATCGTGCCACTGCACTCCAGCATGGCCAACAGAGTGAGAGACTCAAGGAAAAAAAAAAAAAGTGAAAAATACACCTACGTAAGACTCAGTCATTCCATCTAATTAGACAGGTTCCCAAAAAATCAAAACATAACATACGAAGATCACATATATTCAGAAGCATTATTTGCAATAGCCTTTCAACTGTGAATAACCAAATGTCCATCAAAAGGTGAACAAATGGTGGTGGATCTGTATAACAGAATACTACTTGGTCTTGAAAAGGAATGAACTATTAGATTCATCAACAGCACAGGTGAATCTTACAATCACTATGCTGAGTGAAAGACGCCCAACAAAAAAAATATTCACTATGATTTCATTATATAAAATCCTAGAAAATACAACTTAATGTATAGTGACAGAACGCCTATCAGTGGTTACCTGAAAATGGGGGTAGAAAGTGAATTAGAAAGGGTCACAAAGAAACTTGGATGTGACGGATATTTTATCTTGACTATGGTGATGGTTTCAGGGGTGTATATATATGTAAAAACTGACCAAACTGTACACTTTAATATGTATAGTTGACATGAATTATACCTCAATCGGGTTATTAAAAAACACATCAAAACAATTACTAAGGGCTGATATGCTGATATTAGTGAAAGAAAAGTCTTTGGTAGCCTACTTCAAACACTCCTTATAAAGCCTTTACCAAACCCCAAAGAGTTCAAATTAATTCTCTCTCAGTAATTTTGTTTTTAATCTGTTTTAGTGCTATTATACTCGTTCTCCAAACTGTGTTTGGAGACAATTTCAATGCATTCATCTTTGTATACCCTCTGTTGCCAGTCAAATAACCTGAACATAGCAGGTACTCAAAAATAACCTGGAAAAAGCTGTGTATTTATTTCAGTAGATTTGTCTAAATATTCCTGAAAAATAACAATAGATTTTACTTGTCTATGTTCTAATTAAGGAGAGAGATGTTTAAGTGTAAACCTCAGAATACGTGGAACTTATTTAAAATTAACACAAATAACTAAAGCAGAAATAGGAACAATCTTATTTTATTTATTTATTTATTTAGAGACAGGGTCTTGCTCTGCTGCCCAAGCTGGAGTACAGTGGCATGATCATGGCTCACTGTAGCCTCGAGCTCCCAGGCTCAGGTGATCCTCCCAACTCAGCCTCCTGAGTAGCTGGGACTACAGGCACATGCCACCACGCCTGGCTAATTTTTTTTTTTTCTTTTGTAGAGGTAGGGATTCCCCCTGTTACCCAGGCTGGTCTCAAACTCCTGGGTTCAAGCGATCCTCCTGCCTTGGCCTCCCGAAGTGCTGGGATTACAGGTCTGAGCCACCACGCCCAGCCACGAAAAATTTTAAATCAGCATCTAAATGACAGGTAAAGTATACTGTTTTTCTCTGGCATAGATAACACCCTATTTAATAGCTTATTTCCCAACACTGTCTAACTCAAACCATCAAATTAACTTTGGTATTTTACATTTTCATTCCCACGTAGGCCTTTGCTCAATACTCTTCTTCCTTGATGTCTTCCTTATTCTTTCCTAGCCAAATTTTGCCTGGAATGATTGTCATGATGGTATTAATAACAATTAATAAAATACTTAATAATTGTGTAAAGCATAGTGGTAAAAGATAAGTGTGTCTTTACATGTATTTGTGTGGTACACATACATACATGAACACAGAACTCCAGTCAACCTTCTCAACATCTTGAAACATGAGTATTACCTGAATTTTAAAGATGACCAAGTTTTGGTTAGGAAATGCTGAACAAGGATTTGAATTTTAATAATCCTATACCAATGTAAATTCCATCCCACTACAATGTCAATGATTAAGGCTCACCTTACATCTTACCTCCACACAGAAGTCATTTCCAACTACCATGAACTGCAGAGATTGACTTACTTTCCCAAGCATCCTTTTGCTTTTGACTAAATTGCTTTCTTAAGGCATCTTCCTTACTAGACTGAGAGCCCCTTGGATGTAGGGGGTATAACTTCTTACCCTGTTTATGTATTCCCAATGCCTAGCACTATGACCACACACTGTATGTGCTCAAAAACTGCTTGCTGAATTGAAATGAACTGAGCCTTCAGTTATGGAATAATGAAATCATTTCCTAACCTCTTATGTGGTAGAAGCATTTCTTCTATAGAATCTCTGACACAGTCATCCAGATTCGACTAACATACTTCTAAAACAGGAAACTTACTACTTCACAAAACAGCCTATTCTACTGATTTAACAGGTATTAAAAAGTTGTGGGGTTTTGTGTGTTTGAGGTTTCTTTTTTAAAAATAATAACTGAAATAAGATTTGCCTCCCCGTTCTACTGTTGGGGTCAGCACAGAGTAGGTATACTCTCCAACTATGGCGAGAACAGATATGACAATAGATTTAAGAGTAATCCTTTAAAAACTGGATACAATTCAACAAGAATAGTTTTAAAAAATGTACAAAGGTAAAATAATTGTGCAGATGTAATGAATAACGACTTAGTAGACCTACAATCTAGTGATAGTCAAAAAGTGTCTATTCAAAAGGCAGCTGGACATTTGAATATAAATTCAGAGAACAGCCAGGCTAGTTATATAAACTTTTACTTATTAATATTTAGCCAGTATGTGGCCGGGCACTGTGGCTCACACCTATAATCCTGTAATCCCAGCACTGTGGGAGGCCAAGGCAGGCAGATCACCTGAGGTTAGGAGTTCAAGACCAGCCTGGCCAACATGGTGAACCCCTGTCTCTACTAAAAATACAAAAATTAGCTGGGCATGGTGGCAGGTGCCTGTAATCCCAGTTACTTGGGAGGCTGAGGCATGAGAATCACTTGAACCTGGGAGGTGGAGGGTGCAGTGAGCCGAGATGATATCACTGCATTCCAGCCTGGGGGATACATCAAGACTCTGTCTCCAAAAAAAAAAAAAAAAAGAAAGAAAATATTTAGTCAGTATCTTTCAATACTAAAGAGATTCCTAGCACTGAAAAGATTCCTGATACCCCTGGCTAAACTCCATGGAACTGTGACTTCAAAAAGTTGGCAAAAAGACCTAGAATTGGCATACATTTCTAAGAACTTTAAAGAAGCAAGTTTCCCCTGTTACAATGGGCTAATTGACTAAATAACTAAAATCACTTGGTGTCACTACACATTTATCTCAATACTGCCATCTTACGTTACCATATGGGACTACACAGCTTCAAAATATAGACTATGAAATCTGAAAATATCAATGATTTCAAACCCAACAAAAAGGTAGAAAAAAAGGTTAACACTGAGAGTTGAGGTATTTAGTAACAGTAAAAAATATTTTTATAGTAATTAATTTAAAATGGAAGATCTCATGAGGCAAGTAATTATAGACCCAAAATAAATCTTACTTCGAGAAAACATGAAGTAACTTGTTGAATTCCCCAAATCCAAAAAGATTAAATTAACAGATATATGGGGAAGGAGACAGTAGAACAAAATCTAGAGGTAACTCATTTCTTCAGTAAATTAGATCTGCTTTTCTAATCACAGCTGCTTAAATAGAAATATCTGCTTGAATTTGCTAGTTTTAACTTTAATCCCATTACTATAGTGATGGTGCAAAACGGAAAATAAAAGTCAAGTTCCTAATAAAATCAAGGAGTTGAATTTCAAGGGCCGGTTATATTTAACTGAAAATTTAACAATTTGCAATCTTCCATTTTTTCCATGAAGTAAAACCATGCTATTAAAATTATGTCAAAAAAAAAAATTCAGTGGCACTGAAGAATGTCTCTGATTTAATGTTTATATATATATATAATCTGTATACATACTAACATTCCAACAAGGGGGTAGGGGTGGGATGGAGAAAGCAAAAAGTAGCCTGGGAACTTGGGAATTATGTGAAAGTCTTTTTGTCAGAAAATATGAATGTCAAAATACTCATTTATAAACTCTCAAATTTAACAAAAGGATTTAAGTCATGTACAAAAAAAAAAAAAAAAGGCTAATGTTCTGATAGAAGAGATAAGGAAAAATACAAAGATAAATAATCTATTACAATCTTATTATTCTACCACACTGGAGAAAAGCAGTTAAGTGGGAACTCTGTACTTTCTACTCAATTTTCCTGTGAACCTAAAATTACTTTTAAAAGTCCATTAATTAAAAACAAACAAACAAAAAACAACTTACTTGCTCCTTGCTGAGCATATATTGATTTTCTTCACCAGCACTGCTCACAGCATTGGTCAATCTGTTTTTAGGAGAGAAATCTGACAGAAGTCTCAAACGATACTTTCTTCTCCTTTCCTATTTTAAGATTTAATTTTAATTCAGCAAAATAAGTATCTTTTAAAACCCTCATCAGTCTTTTAGTACAGAGATACCCAGTCCCAGGAAACCAGTTTCTTCATCATCACTCGCTGCTGAACAATGTTTGTTGATTCCTTCTTCAGTTACAAGAGGCAGTGGTCAAAACGATTTCCTGTCTTAAAGGGTCAAACTCCCTCTTTCAACTTCTCACATTGTTTCACAATCTTACACTTTTATTTTCTCTAGACTGTAAAAGACACAGTGCAATGACTTTGCCTCACTCATTACTGCCTGACATACAAACATAGTAGTTGCTTTGTTGAATGAATATTCTTTTCAATCCACAAGAAAAGGCACACTCATTCAAAAGAAGTAAAAATGTTTTCCATCTTGCAATGTAGTTTAATAAATGAGGCCATAAAGTTTGAAAAGAATAAGTCTCACAAAGTACTCATTTTCATTATTTGAACAATTGCCAAGGGGTTTGGGGGTGGTGGAGGGGAAGGGTGTGTGAATATCTGAAAAAGACACTAAGGACATGTTTGGGCCAGAGAACTATCACATATAATACTAATACCATGTCAGCATATCATATTATATTAAGTGCTTTAATAAATATTATCTCACTTATCACAATTCTATGAGTCAGGTAAGGTACAGGTTGAGTATTCCTTACCCAAAATGTTCAGGACCATAAATCTTTTGGATTTCAAATTTTCTCAGATTTTGAAATATTTACATATATATAATCTTGAGGATGGGACCCAAGTCTAAACATGAAATTCATTTATGTTCCATATACACCTTTCACACATAGCATGAAGGTTATTTTATACACATTTTAAAGAATTTTGTGCATGAAACAAAATTTCAACTACAACCCATCACATGAGGTCAGATGTGGAATTTTCAACTTGCCACATCATGTCTGCACTCAGAAAGTTTTGGATTTTGGAGCATTTCGAATTTCAAATGAAGGCTAGGCATCATTCTTCATTCCTCTTTTCCAAAGTGAGGAATCTGCAGCATCCATAAAGCTGGACCAGGAGTCAAAACAAATCCAAGCATCTGCCTACTACATCATATTGCCTCTACACCACAGAACTGCACCTACTGCCACAAGCCATGCATGAAAATTCGCCTCATTATCTTCTCAGTTTATTAAAATACCATCAGCTACTAGCTAACAGAAATGGAGTGCTCAATGAGTTGCATTTTTCCCTCTGTAATTTATTTGTAGGTGAGATAAGCAAATTTTTTTAAAAAAGCAAGATGAACAAAAACATGGTATAGTCATATAAAGGAATATTATTCAGCCATGAAAAAGAATGATACATGCTACTGCTACATGTACAACATGGAAGAACCTTAAAAACATGATGCTAAATCAAAAAAGCCTGTCACAAAGAACCACATATTGTACCATTCCATTTATATGAAATGTCCAGAATACACCAATCCATACAGACAGAAAATATATTAGTGGTTGCAGGGGATGGCGGAGTGAGGGTGAATGGAGAGTGACTTCTAAGGCGCAGCATATAGAATTTCTTTTTGAGGTGATGAAAATGTTCTCAAGTTGCAGTAGTGATGGTTGTGCAACTCTGTGAATATACTAAAACACTGAATTGTGCACTTTAAGTAGGTAAACTGTATATGATCCAGGCATCACCTCATCTTGTTGTGCTTTGATTTATTGTGCTTCGTAGATTCTGCATTTTGCCACAAATGGAAGGTTTGTGGCAATCCTGAGTAAAGTAAGGCCACCCGTGTAATTTTTCCAACAGCATGTGCTCACTTTGTGTATCACATTTTAGTAATGTATCACATTTTAGTAATTACCACAATATTTCAAAGTTTTTTATTATTATTACTATTATTATAATATCTGTTATGGTGATCTGTGATCAGTGATCTTTGGTGTTACTTTTGTAGTTGTTTTGGGGTGCCATGAACCCCACCCATACAAGATGGTAAATTTAACTGATAAATGTTGTGTATGTTCTGACCGCTCCACCGACCAGCCATTCTCCATCCTCCTCCCTCTCCTCTAGCTTCCCTATTCCCGGAGATACAATACTGAAATTAGGCCAATTAATAATCCTACAATGGCGTCTAAGGGTTCAAATAAAGCAAGACTCACACATCTCTCACTTTAACTCAAAAGCTAGATATGATTAAGCTTAGTGAGGAAGGCATGTCCTAAGCTGAAATAGGCCAAAAGCTAGGTCTCTTGGGTCAGTTAGCCAAGTTGCGAATGCAAAGCAAACGTTCTTGGAGGAAATTAAAAGTGCTACTCCAGTGAACACATGGATAAGACAGTGGAAGAATGTTATTGCTGATAGGAAGAAAGTTTCAGTAGTCTGGTAGAAGATCCACACAGCTGCAACATTCCCCTTAGCCAAAGCCTAATCCAGAGCAAGGCCCTAACTCTCCTCAATTCTGTAAAAGCTAAGAGGTGACAAAGATGCAAAAGAAAAGTTAGAAGCTGGCAGAGGGTGACTCATGAGGTTTAAGGAAAAAAGTTATCTTCATAACACAAAAATATAAGGTGAAGCAGCAAGTCCTGATGTAGAAACTGCAAGTGATCCAGAAGATCTAGCTAAGATCATCGAAGGTCACTATACTAAGCAGATTTTCAATGTAGACAAAACAGCCTTCTTTCGGAAGAAGACACCATCTAGAACATCAATGTCTCGCCTCAAAGCATACGATGATTCTCTTGTTAGGGGACAATGCAGCTCCTGACTTTAAGTTGAAGCCAATGCTCACTGGTCATTCCAAAAATTCTAGGGCCCATAAGAATTACACTAACTCTACTCTGCCTGTGCTCTATAATTGGAACAACAAAGCCTGGATGACAGCACATCTGTTTTTACATAGCATGGTTTACTGGCTGTTTGAAGCCTACTGAGACCGCCTGCTCAGAAAGAAAGAGTCCTTTCAAAATATTACTGCTCATTGACAATACACTTGGTCATTCAAGAGCTCTGATGGAGATGTACAAGGAAATTAATGTTGTTCTCATGTCTGCTAACACAAAATCTATTCTGCATCCCATAGATCAAGTAGTAATTTTTACTTCATTTAAGAAATAAATTTTAAGAAATTTATTATTAAGAAATAAATTTGAGAAATATTTAAGAAGTAAATTTCGTATAAAAGAGAAATATTATTTATTTAAGAAATAATTATGTCATAAGGCTATAGCTGTCACAGACAGTGATTCCTTTAATGGATCTGGGGAATGTAAACTGGAAACCTCCCAGAAAGGTTTCACCACTCTAGATGCCATTAAGAATATTTGTAATTCATGGGAGGAGGTCAAAACATCAACATTAACAGGAGTTTGGAAGACGCTGATTCCAACCCTCATGGATGATAGGAAGTAGCTGTAGATGTGGTGGAAATAGCAAGAAAATTACAAATGGTGCCCAAAGACATGACTGAATTACTGCAATATTATGATAAAACTTGAATACATGAGGAGTTGCTTCTTAGGGATGAACAAAGTGGTTTCTTGAGATGAAATCTACCCGTGGTGTAGATATTATGAATATTGTTGAAATGACAACAAAGGATTGAGAAAGTTGACAAAGCACTGACAGGCTTTAAGAGGACTGACCCCAATTCTGAAATATGTTCTACTGTGGGTAAAATGCTATTAACGAATGCATGAAAGAGTCAACTGATGCAGCAAACCTCATTGATACTTTCTTTTATAATAAATTGCCACAGCCACCCCAGCCTTCAGCAACCACCACTCTCATCAGTCAGCAGCCATCAACACCTGAGGCAAGACCCTTTACCCGCAAAAAGATTACAACTCTCTGAAGGCTCAGATGATCATTAGCATTTCCTAGTAATAAAGCATTTTTAAATTAAGGTATGTATGTACTGTTTTTTAAGACAAAATGCTGTTGCATGCTTATTATAGTATAAACATAACTTTTATATGTACCAGGAAACCAAAAAAATTGTGTGACCCCCTTCATTGTGATATTCACTTTTTTGCAGTGGTCTGGAATTGAACTTGCAGTATCTTTGAGACATGCCTGCATATGAATTATTTCTCAAACTGTTTTAAAAAATAATGACCCTATGACACTGTAAAATCCTTAATTTAAAAAATTCATTTATTTTCTAATATATTGCACATCAACTCAGTGAAGTGATCTAATAATTTTAAAACCTTTTCAGTAATTATGTCATAAGCATTTTGGTGTTGCCTTGTAAAAAAAAAATTTACTAATTCAGAAAAATGGAGTCTTCTTTAAAAAAATTTTTTCCACTTTTACCAAAAAATTATTTCATTCCATTTTTTAAATACTTTTGTTAAATACTCAGATTAAGTTTTACTGAAGCATAACTACCAATTTTAATTAGAGAGTGAGATATCTTAACAAATGTATACAGCTGTGTGCGTAATCCAGTTTGGGAAAACTTGGACCACCTAAAAAGTTCTCTGTGCTCAGCTGGGTGCAGCGGCTCATGCCTGTAATCCCAACACTTTGGGAGACCAAAGGGAGAGGACTGCTTGATCCCAGAAGTTTGAAACTAGCCTGGCAACACAGCAACACCCCATCTCAAAAAAATTTTTGTTTTTTAATTTAAAAGGTTCCCTGTGCCCATCTCTGCTCCTACCTCCAGACCCAGGCCACCAACGATTTGCTTTTGTCTTCAAAGTTTTGTGCTTTTTAGAAATTTCAAACCAACAGAATCATTCAATATATAGTCTTATGTATCTGGCCTCTCTCATTTGGCATGTTTCTGAAGTCATCCATTTGGCTGACTATCAGTAGTTCATTCTTTTTTAATTGTTGAGTGGTATTCCATCATATGTATGTACCACGTGTTTATCCATCTATCAGTTGATGGGCACTTGAGCTGTTTATAGCTATCATGTTTTTAGCTATCACGAATAACACTGCTGTAACCATTGACATGAGTCTATGTATAGACACATACATTCATTTCTATTTGGTAGATAGGAATAAATTTGCTTAGTCGTATAGATACATGTTTGACTTTATATATATATATATATATCTTGTATTTATGATTTAAGAACGAGTATTTAAAAACTATGACCTGTATTTATGTAACTATAAGGGAGATTAGAAACCAAACAGATGGATATTTATAAAAACTGGTATTTCAGGAAAAGATTTAAAGAAGCTCATTCCAACTCCTTTGTATAAACTAGGGAACACACAATTACTTTAAGCAGAATTAAGTTTTTTCTTAATTGCTCTCCAGATTACATCAAAGGTAAAACATTTAGTGATCTTAAGGCTTTAACTTCCTCAAATTTTCAATGGATTGCCTTTCAGAATGATTTTTCTAATTAACGTGAGAGGAAATCTAGCTAATAAAAGGCCAAACTCTTAGATTCTTTTCAAGAGTTGAATGAATTTTTATGTATCAACACAGATGGATTTCAGTATTCACTCACTAAGCAGAAAGGAATAATTAATTTTTATCATCCATGTACCATACAAATATGAAGTTAAAATATAATTTTCATTGATGGCCAATACTGTAGATTCCATGTTATAATGAATTCCAAGATCATCAATTTCTGCATCTTTAGTAGAAAGTGTAATTTTCAGTGTTACAATGTCTTCAAAGAGTCTTCAGTTTGTCTTTATCTTGCTCTTTTTGACTGCAAAGTGCAAAAGATTCCTGAACAAACTGCCTGCATATTGGGCACTGCTGAAAATACTTCATGCAGCCATCACACAGGCAGGTGTGTCTGCATGGTAAGAGCACCCAGTTCACAGTCCCATTCTGGCAAACAACACAGTCCTTGCTGTTCTCCGATGGCTCAACTTCACTTTTAGAGAGTCTCACCTTTTCCAACAAACTTCTGCCTGTGTTTTTTTCTTCTGAAGAGGAACAGTTGGAGGGAGTGAAATTATTATTTGCAGACATGAAAAGTTGCTTAAGATCATGAAATTGACCTTGAGCCAAGAGTAAATATTGATACAATATTCTGCAGGATAGCTTATAAGTCCTATCAGGAATATGAATCACTGACACCACGGAAATAATATCATAAATTTCCCGGTCATCCTCATCAGCTAAGGTCAATAGCGCTACCAATGGATAGCGAGATGTGGGCACTGTGCCAAAGTCTTCAATTTTATTATCTCTTGGTAACGGGCAATATATTTCTTCTTTGCTATCCTTTTTAAATACTTTTTGAAAATGTAAAGGTAAATTGCCACTACAACCATAAGAACAAAAATATACCAAAAATGATCAATAAGTTAGCAACACTTTATCCATAAGAAGTCTAATTTTCAGTGCTAATGGGTATATCAGATAACAGGATACAAATACTGTTCCTGATAGAGATATTCACTATACAAAGCATCTTCTAATGCTTGGGGAGTGCTTATTCTGAAGCAATAAACATGCTTCTGCAGAGCGTCATATAATTTTTGAACACTGCACCCCCAGTAGCATGTAAGGAGACTATCTTCAAGGCAATCTGTTGTCAAGGTTATGCCAGTTGTAACTGAAGCTGAAGATGGATTAGTGATCTCTAAGCCAAAAGGATTCTTGACTTGTCTCATTTGCTTTTTGAAAACTCTTGTGCTGACCTGGGTCTCTTCTGAATTTCTCAGAATTACTGGAACATCCCAACCAAACCATCCCAATACTAGACCGGTGGTCACGACGAAGCAGGTGAAGACCACCGCAATGTAGAAAAGCGGCGAGTATTCATAAAGCATTACCAGAAACACCGCAGCCATCAGGGTCTCGCTCTGGATAGAGCCAGGCTCAAGCCGCGTAGCCCAGCCCAGCCCAGCCCGACATGTTTGACTTTTTAAGAAACTGCAAAACTTTTCCCAAGGGGCTATACAATTTTATATTCCTAGCAGCAATGTATGAGGGGAGGTTTCTAGTTACTTCACATCTCACCAACACTTAAGACAATCTCTTTTTTATTTTAGCTAATTTAGAGGATTCATTAGTGGTATTTCACTGTGGCTTCAATATCTAACGACAGTGAACAACCCTTCATGTGCTTGTTTGCCATCCATACATCTTCTTTAGTGAAATCTGTTCAAATCTTCTGCCCTTCTAAAAACTGGTTGTTTTGGTATAAGTTGTAATTGTCTGCATATTCTGAATTCAATCCTTAATCATGTATGTTTTGCAAACACTTTCTTCAAATATTTGGCTTGGTCTTCTCATTTTCTGAATAGTGTCTTTTGAAGTAAAAGGTTTTAAATTCTGACGTTCATTTTAATCAACTTTTTTTTTTTTTTTTTTGAGTTTTGCTCTGTTACCCAGGCTGGAGTGCAGTGGTGCGATCTTGGCTCACTGTAACCTCCGCCTCCAGGGTTCAAGCGATTCCCCTGCCTCAGCCTCCAGAGTAGCTGGGACTACAGGCATGCAACACCATGCCTGGCTAATTTTTATATATTTTGTAGAGACGGGGTTTCGCCACGTTGGCTAGGCTGGTCTCGATCTCCTGGCCTCAGGTGATCTGCCGGCCCAGCCTCAGCCTCCCAAAGGCCGATTACAGGCGTGAGGCACCACGCCCAGACCATTTTATGAACTTCTGTTAGCAGATCACACTTTTGGTGTTACATCTAAGAAATTCTTGCCTAATCCAAGGTCATGAAGATTTACCCCTAGGTTTTCCTGAGAGATTTATAGTTTTAGTTCTTATATTTAGGTCATTGCCCCTGTATTTTCTTTAAGAAATTTTACAGTTTTATATATTACTTTAAATAATCTGTTTTTGTGTACAGTGTGAAGGGTCTAGGTGCCATTTTTTGACAAGATGTATATCCAATTGTTTCAGTACCATTTGTTGAAGATACTACCCTTTTCCCCAATGTATTAGCTTGGCATCTTTGTCAAAAATCAATTTACCATATATATCTGAGTTTATTTCTTGGTTCTATTTTGTCCTATTGATCTATTAATATTTGACTATTAATATAGCTTTATATAAGTTCTGAAGTCTGGTGCTTTAAGTCCCTATGTTCCTTCGCAAAATTATTTTAGCTCTTCTAGGTCCTTTAAATTTCTGCATATATTTTAGAATTAGTTTCTCAATTTCTATAAAAAAAAGTACTGAGATTTTTGATAGAGAATCTACAGGTTACTAATTTGGGTTTTCCAATCCATAAAAATTATATGTATTTCCTTTATTTGGGTCATTTTTCTGAAATGTTTTGTAGTTTTCAGTATACAGAAATACTTATTTTAAAACACCAATGATAAACTTCTTAAAGCGCTAAATTGAAGATAAAATAAAATAGCAAACATTATTTAAAATCTTCCAAACACAGTTTTAAGTTTATCATACCTCATATCCAAAAGCAAGACAAGCAATGAACAAATAATAAAGAGATATTATCTCATAAAGTCTAAGGGTTATAAACCATTCATAAAATTGAGCAGGAAAAAAGTTAACTCCTATTTCAAAGGTACTTGCCTTGAATGAAATCGCCACACAACTTTTTGGTAGCAGAAACTAAATACTCAATTTGGTTTTTCTTCCTGAACTCCCAACAAACTCAAGAAATTTCCACAAACTAGAGTCATATCCACAAACAAAACATATTTTTGTAAATAAAATGTAGTACTGGAAACACAATGAAACACACCATCTCTAGTTTTTTTCTATCTCAATTTTTAGAGCATGATTTTTGTCTCCAATTTTAAGTGTATAAGCCTTCACTGAAGCAAATCTGACAAATAAAATGGAATTGAGGTTCTATCAAAGGTTAAAGTCTTGAAAAATTATTTTTAATTGATTATAAATATTAACAAAAGTTTTCTCTTTCAAACTAAAAACATTTCGCACATTCATAGCAGGAGCCACATAGAGTTCACAATTACACTATTTATAATAGCTAAAGATAGGAACTATCTAAATGCCCACCGACAAGAGTACATGGCATAAATTATGGTGTATTCACATTATTGAATATTGTATTATAGTGAAAATGAACTACAGCTATATGCAATAATATGTTGAATATTAAAAACATAAAGTTGAGAGGGGGAAACAAAGCAATGTCCAAAAGACAATAAGCAGTATGATTCCAAGAAAAACTAAATATATTATTTGGGCAGCAATACATTAATAATATAAACCATTTTAAAGAGGCGAAGGAATGACAAATACAAAATTCCAAACAGTAGTTTCTGGAGAAAGGAAGAGCTAGAGGAGGCAGGAAAACGGAACAGTTGAGGAACACATAAGTAAACAAATCCAAGTTATTATTAATATTGTAGTTCTTGGGCAGAGTGGAAGGTTTCGTATGTTTTATAACTTACACATGTTATCTAATTCTTTTGTAACACATTACATTAAAAAATATTTTTTAAAACACAAGCAAAAACTATTTTTTAAAATTACTCATTATAAAAAATTTTCCAGAAGTTTAATAGTAAACTCAAAATGTACTTCAAAGTTTTTAGAAAGTTCTTACCTTTGTTTCTGTTCAACTGCTTTGTCCAAATGCTGAAAGATATCCTGAAACAAGGTGCAGCTGGATCGACTGTTAATAGTATACCCATATCCTCTTTTCCAATATTGTTTCAGATCATTTAAATACTCTAATACCTAAAAAAAATTCAAAAATCATTTCTAATACATTTTCAAAAACATAACAGATTCCCTGATGTAATAATGATTCTCTAAGAAATAGTTACAGTGTTTAATTACCATTCTGCACAAAATATAGTATTTATGTCATATGTCAAGGATACATTTAGAAGAAAGAATAAAGAAGAAGAATATTCATTAAAACACAGAAGATAACAACAGTGGATGAGAAATGTTTAAGAATTTTGAGAAGGCAGAAGTCAAATAGAAAATGAGTTACTTTGGTTCATGTATCATTGGTGAAAAAAATAATAAAAGTGTACCAAGGATACGGGGAAATGGGTACTGTTGGGAGGAATGTATATTGGTATAGACATTCAAGAGGGCAAACTGGCAAAATCCATGAAAACACACATACTCTATGACCCATTTAATTCCATTTCTTATAAAGTGATATTCACAGAGGAACACCAGCGAGAATATACAAGAATGACTTACAGTAGCACTGCTTATAGATGCCAAAAAATCCCCAAAAACAACTAAATTCCAACAGTCGGTAGATGGTTAAATAAACTATGGTATACACATACTACAGAATACTTTGCAGTTATCAAAAAGTTCTGTATTATAGATCTCCATGTACTGACATGGAAGAGCTCCAAGACACAATGTTGAGTAAGAGTCCGTTAAAAATAATACATACCCTATAATACCATTTATTACCCCCCCCACACACATATACATTATACCCTTTATATTTCTTTTTTTTTTTTTTTTTTTTTTTTTTTTTTTTTTTTTTTTTTTTTTTTTTTTTTTTTTTTTTTTTTTTTTTTTTCATTATACCCTTTATATTTCTAAGAATGATACATATTATACAAGTATAGAGAACAGTTTGAAACTTACCTATCACTGATTACAGTGATTAATCTCTGCTGCAAGGTCTGGAATGGAGAGCTGGTAATTAAGTAGCCTTTATCTGAGGGTTAAATTTTGCACTTATGTATCATTTGATCATTTGCTCATGTAGAAGTGGAGAACTAAAACCTCTATCTAGAACTAAAACCTGTAGCTAAAACCACAACTAGAGGACTAAAATATGTAACCCAAAAGAGGTTCAATAGTCATGAACCTTTCTTCCCAAAAGAGCTCCTAGAGAAACAAAGTTCAAGTCATAGTAAGTTTTAAGAGCAGGGGTGGGTCAGTGCCATATGTAAAAACAAAATAAAAAATACATTAAAGGGGTGAGGAGGAGCTGCTTGCTACACTATCATTGCTGCCTGCAATCTAGACTAGCATAGCACAATGGCAACTTGTGTCCCTTCCAAAGGCAAAAGTGTAGATATTTATTAATGAAGAAAAGGAGAATAGCTGAGGGTAAAACGATGAATAAGTGGGTTATAAAGGAAATGAAATATTACATGAACGCCTTGAACGAGGCTCCGAGCAAAAGGTGACACTGTCTCTTAGCTCAACTGACAGATGCATGAGATGGTGAAGCTATATATTTGCCAAAACCACTCCTGGTTTTGGAACCTGACCGGATTGAAAGGAAGCTGGCAAACCTTAGTGGCCTCGCCCTGGAAGATATTCATATAAGATGATGGACTGGACTAATTATTAATGACTGTGTATACTCTTTTGATGTAAGGTATCCCTCTTTGAAAACCAGGGGCTGACCTGTGGTGTTATGATATGTATATATTGGCTTTCGTCCACACTTTCTGGTTTGTAACTCCCATATCCCTTGTTGAAGTCTTTTGGTATAATACTGGGTGTGTGAGGCCTCAGGGGCAGGCCTCAGGAAACAGAATCTCTCTCCTGCCTCCCTTTCCACAGTGCAGAGGCAGAACTCTCATCTTTCTGCCTTTCTGGGGGTCTTAAGATCCTGCCCTGAAAGGGTCCTGCCTCATATCCTGGGGGGAAGGAATACTTCCATAAAAACCCAAGAGGACTGGATTTGGAGAGCTTACAGAAAGCTGAACATGTGGAACTTCCTGGAGGGTGGCATGCCGAGGGAGGACATGGAAGCTCCACGCCCCTTCCCCCACAACTCGCCCTACTCATCTCTTCATCTGTATCCTTTGTAACATCCTTTATAATAAATCAGCAAACATGTTTCCTTGAGTTCTGTGAGCTGCTACAGCATATTAACTGAACCCAAAGAAGAGGTCATGGGAACACCAACTTGAAGCCAGTTGAGCAGAAGAGTACCAATGGGGCACCTGGGGACTGAGCCCTCAACCTGTGGGATCTAACACTACCTCCAGGTAGACAGTGTCAGAACCGAACTGGAGGACACCCAGCTGGTGTCTCCTGCTTGGTGTGCAGGGGAAAGGCTCCCACACATTTGGTCACAGAAGTCTTCTGTGTTGATGATTGTTGGGGGTGGTGTGAGAGCGGAGGAAAAACACAGCTTTGGAGAGTCTGTCCTTACCCAAAGGCAATTAAATCAAGAAGTTAGCAAAGAGACATAAACACTTAAGAAATTTAAAAAGGAATTAAAAGGAATTAGATAAAAGTCTGTTCAATCTATTCAAGAAATAAAATCTACTATTAGAAATAAAAAGAGGCAACTGAGATTTTTAAAACTCTCAAGTGCTTACTATTAAAACTTTATATAAAAAAAAAAAAAAAAAAAAAGACCCAGTGCGGTGGCTCACACCTGTAATCCCAGCACTTTGAGAGGCCAAGGCAAGTGGATCCCTTGAGGTCAGGAGTTAGAGACCAGCCTGGCCAACGTGGCAAAACCCCTTCTATACTAAAAATACAAAAATTAGCCAGGTGTGGTGGCGGGTGCCTGTGGTCCCAGCTACTCAGGAGGCTGAAACACGAGAATCGACAATTCTACCACAGACATACACCTTCAGAAACAGGTATACCTGTACCCCAACAAACATATACATAATATTCATAGCAACAAGGTTCATAACAGCCCCAAACTAAAAACAATGTCTACCAAAAAGATAATGAATTAACGGTAAAATATTCATATAATGGAATACTATATAGTAATGAAAATTAAAAACTGTAGCTATATGCAATCTCATAAATATTTTTCAACTTAAAAACTTTATTAAATTGTAATTTACATACACGTGATTTAAATATACAGGTTGATTTTTGACAAATATAAACACGTGTATAACCCACCCCCGCCATGTTAATACAATGACTTAATCACCCCCAAGAAGTTACCTCATGCCCCTTTGCTTCAATCTCCTCTAATACTCTGCTACAAGTATATGTTTTACAGAATCCTGAGAAATGTCTGTGACCTCATAATTCACAATCCATTTGAGAAGAGGTACATTTTCCTGAAATTTGTGAACCTTTTCATAACACAACAGGTCAAGATCATTTTAAATTCCTCCCAGTTCAAATTCCTGCCTTCTAAGTAGCAATCTATAAACGGGAAGCTTTTTTTTTTTTTAAACTTGTGTCATGGGGGTATGTCGTATGGATTATTTCATTACCCAGGTATTAATCCTAGTGCCCATTAGTTATTTTTCCTGATCCTCTCCCTCCTCCCATCCTCTGCCCTCTGAAAGGCCCCAGTGTATATTGTTCCCCTCTATCTGTCCATGCGTTCTCACCATTTAGCTCCCAAATAAATCTTAAAAACTTAATGTTGAACAAGAGCTAGATACCAAAAGAAAAAAACATACACAGAGTAATTCCATAATATAAAGTTCAAAAACAGATAAAGCTAAACTGTTTCTTGGGGAAAAAATAAATTAGTAAACAATAAACTACTGTCATAAAGAAAAAATTGAAAGCAAAAATACACAAGTAATTATGGGGAAATAATTTCAGAGAAGGAAAACACTTTTTAAAATCAAAAGATATATTGGCTTAATTCAGCAAATAATGGATAACATGAATGACTGACTTTTATAGGTACATTAAATACCAAAACTAATTCCAAGAGAGAGAAAATCTAGACATACTTATTAAAGACACAAATTGCAAAAAGGCTATCCTACAAATTAATTTTCTCCTTTGTGCATCACTACACCTTTTACGGGTAGTCCCCAACATATGATGGTTTGACTTACAATTTTTCAACTTTACAATGGTTCAAAAGCAATACACATTCAGTGCGCTCCTTGACTTACAACGAGGCTATGTCTGGATAAACGCACTGTAAATCAGAAATGCACTTCCAACTTAAGATATTCAACCTGCCATGGGTCTATCTGGATGCAACCCCACAGTAAGTCAAGGAGCATCTGCGTATGTTTCTATTACTGTATAAACATTCTATTATCTTGCAATGGTTTAGTTACATGTCTTTCATTCCTTGCAGCATTCTTTGAGGACAGTATCTATCTAATATTAGTGTCTTCAGTTCCAAGCAAGTGCTTGTCACAGAACAGAAACTCAAAAAATGCTTGCTGAAGGTACTCAAGGTCCAGGATATCTAATTATCTCAGAATTTCATAAATGTCTATTCATTTTTAATTGTAAAAAACATTCTTGGCCAGGCGCAGTGGTTCACACCTGTAATCCCAGCACTTTCAGAGGGTGAGGCAGGAAGATTACTTGAGGTCAGGAGTTCAAGACCAGCCTGGCCAACATGGTGAAATCCCATCTCTACTAAATATACAAACATTAGTTGGGCGTGAAGGCACACGCCTGTAATCCCAGCTACTTGGGAAGCTGAGGCAGGAGAATTGCTTGAACACAATAGGCAGAGGTTGCAGTGAGCTGAGATCGGTCCACTGCACTCCAGCCTGGGTGACAGAGGGAGACTCTGCCTCAAAAAAAAAAAAAAAAAAAAGAAAAAAAAAAATCTTAAAGAAGAACTTTAAACACATAAAAAATATAAGACAGTAGTATAAAGAACCTCTGTGTACTCATCCAGTTTCAACAATAATCAGCATTCCATCTCAGCTTTGCTCCTACCACTACCACTGAATTATTTTGAAGCAAATCCCAGGTATCATTTTATTTCACCTGTAAATACTTCAGTATATAAACCTATTTCACAGTGAAAGTCCAAAGCAGGGATAAATTATTTTCTATCAAATCACTGAAGAAGAAAATAATAGAAAATACCCAAAGTGCTGGGATTACAGGCATGAGCCACCATGCCCGGTCAAGAAGTTCTTTATTTACAAGAAAAAAGGTACCTCTACAATAAAGAGATCAGGCAGACACCATTGTAATCAAATGATCAAATGGTCAAGAATCACTTGAATCTGGGGAGCGGAGGCTTCAGTGAGCCAAGATTGTGTCACTGCACTCCAGCCTGGGCAACAGAGAGAGACACTGTCTCAAAAATAATAATAATCATCATCATCAATGATGTGACAAATGGACATCAGTCCTTCTGACATGATGCACTGAGAAGGATATATCACTTATGTAGGGCTCTTGTCAAAAATGTTTAATCTGAATCTAATCCTAAGTAAAAAATATCAGACACATCCAAAAGCATTCTGCAAAAAACCTGGCCTAGACTCCTCCAAAACACCAATGTACGAAGGGCAAAAGGAAGGCTGGAGCACTCTTTCAGGTTAAATGAGACTAAAAGAAATGCAACCAAATGCGATGAATGACCCCTTATCAGATCCTGAATCTTACAAAACAAAACAAAACAAACAAAAAACAGCTATAAAAGACTTAGGATGTGAAAATTTGAAAGTTGACTGTATATTAGAAAATACTGTGGTATACATTATACACATAAATATAACTATGGTATACTGTATTGTGGTTATACAAAAGAATGTTCTTGTCCTAGATGCATGCCCAAGTATTTAAGAGTGAAGCATCCTGATGGTGGGGGGTACAAGAAGATTATATATACATGGTGGACAGAAAAAACTGCTCCCATATGTCCACATTCTAATCCTTGACATCCTATGAATATGTTACCTTACCTGATAAAAGGGAATCTGCCAACGTGATTAATCTCGAGATGGAGAGATAAATCCTGGACTATCTAGGTGGGCCCAGTGTAATCAACAGTGTAATCAACAAGTATCCTTACAAGAGGCAGGCAGGAAGGACAGTTAAGAGTTGGAGATATACCCATCAGAAGTTTGAGTGACAGGAAATGCAAGCAGCTTCTGGAGATCAGAAAAAGCAGGATATGGATGTTCTCCTAAAGCCCCCTAAAAGAATACGGCTCTATTGATACCTTGATTTCAGCCCTGTAAGATTCAATTTGAACTTCTGACCTCCAGAACCATAAGATAATAAACTTATATTGTTTTAAGCCACTAAGTTTGTGATAACTTGTTAGAGCAGCAATAGGAAACTCATATAGTAGAGAGACTCATAAAGGAAATGTGGCAAAAAAGGTTAACAACTGGTAAATATAGGCGAAGGACATACGAGTGTTCACTGTAAAACACAGAACACAATTTCCCATGAAAAAGGTTATAAAACAGTCGCTAGGACTTTCGAAAACCATTTATTCTCTCTGAGCTTTGGCTTCCTATAAGAATAATCTGGGATTATATCAGATCTACAATCCCTTCCGAGCAGTAAAATTTGATGATGGGTTGGTTAAAGGTAGGTCTGTAGATGGGTTGATTTAGAAATCAAATCACCATGGAAAAAATGTTTCCAGAGTTTTTTGAACCTGAACTATTTACAAGTAGGTGGGACCAATGTGAACCTTTAGTCTCTCTTTATTCAAGGAAAATTAGGAGTTAGTCACAAAACAGCTTATGTTCCCTAACTGCTCATTTTCTGAAAAGCTGCTTCAAGTAACCAAATGCAGACAAGCAAGCCAAAAAAAATTTTTTTAGAAAAGCAAAGGAACTGCAAAAATAATACTTACCTTTGCATCATCTATGTCAAAAACATCACACCAAGGAGATTTAACACCTTTAATTGCCAGGTCAAATGAACAGGTGAAAAAGGCTACTTGAATTAAATCTGGGGGGGGAAAAAAAGGTAAAATTTTGTGGGTCATTATTTTCTGCAATTTTTCAAAGGTTAAATATCTTTGTGTGGTACAGTTCAATAAAATGGAAATCTTTGGTTTGGGGAAGAAATTATTTAGTTTCTTCCTGGCTATCAAAGCATTAAGAGACTTGCTCTGTATAATCTAAGGGGGCAGAACTGAACTATCAGGAAGAAACCATGAGAAGTATAAATTTCAGTCCAAAAAAACTAAGAAATTTTCTGTAATTGGTAACTTTTTTCTGCCTCCCCCGCCTTTTTTTTTTTTTTTTTTTTTGACAGGGTCTTGCTCTGTTGTCCAGGCTGGAGTGCAGTGGTGATCACAGCTCACTGCAACCTCGGATTCCTGGGCTCAAGCAATCCTCCTGTATCAGGTAATTACTTGTTAAGAACATATTTGCCTAGCAATATCAACAAAAAGTGTAATCCAAGGACTTGCTATATAAAACTTAACATGATTTTGTTAATTTTAGAGGGTTCAAGGAGGGGGGGCTAAGGTTATAAAGGTTTTAGTACCCGACTTGAAAAATTACAAATAACAAAGTACATTTATTGAACAGTTTAAATTATACAATTCATTTTATAACTAAGAAGTAGCAGTAAGTACAGAGAAGATACAAAAGGAGAGAGAAGACTACAGAGATAGAGAGGGAAGAGGTGCAAGGTAAGTGAGGGGGAAGGAGAGACAGCCAAAGAACAGAAGCACAAAGGGGAAAATCACACACTAGAGCGAAACATTGGTACCAACATCAGTTTTTCAAACTTAGCTGCTTAAATGATTTCAGAAGTGGATTTCAGAATAAGTTATCTAGGATTTTTACACTGCTAATTTGCTGATTACATTACTTTGAGATACATATGGGTATTGAAGAGAAGGGATAAGGGAATGAATGCTTGGGCTATAAAAAGTAGCCTTTGTTAGTAAATAAAACACTGCTGCTTGCTAGTCCATGAGAAGTGGATGATATTTAACGCTAGAGAGAAAAAAAGTCAACTGCAGTGGTTGCCTCCACTGCTTCGATTTTTCTTTAATTTTACTGCGTTTCCTGTTTTCCTAAAGGCAAATGGGACCAAAAATCAACTGATGTTACATACATTTTGTGCTAGTTCTGAGTTTACAGAATTCCCCTGAAGCAGTATACAACACAAAAAAATATATTTCATTGGGAATATACAGAAAAGCCATTCAAAACTTTGCTCATGTAAAGAAAAAGTTTTATAATCTCAATACCTGATACAATATAGTGGCTTGTAAGTACCAGGTACATTTGATGAAAGGACCTGGCTTATTTACACTCAAAGCTCTAATTCCGAAACTATGAAGTCAGTCCAAATGGTATATTCTTTAACTGGAAGAGAGTTTACTGGAAAAAAAAAAAAATCACCAAACAACTCTTCAGAGTACAGGGAGAAAAAGCATCAGATCAAGACAGGCTGAGACCTGACTTTGCCACTAATTATCCTGGGTAAGCTCTCTTAAGTGTCAATTTCCCCACTTACAAAGTAAAGAAGTTAGACACATGATCTTATTTAAGTTGCAGCTCTGACTTATCCATTATGACCCTTCTGATTTCTTGGTCAATCTTTCAGAACCTCAAAAACATTTCAGGTGGGTAAGAAATTTAAATATTTAAGAAACGAAACAGACCCTTTCCCTCCGCTCCCCTGAGAAAAAAATAAAACAACAAAAAAGGAAGACAATAGAAAAATATAATAATCTTGGAGTGGGAGGATTCCTGGACAAAATACAACACTCAGAAGCCATAATGAAGGACAGATATGGCTATTTAAAAGATGTAAACTTCTGTGCAATCAAAGGCACCATCAACAAACCTAAGAAATAAGGAAAAAATTAAAATATTAGCAACATACAACAAGCAAAGGGAGAATCTTTTGTCAGGCAGAATTAAAAGATATAATTAATATACCTATAACACATAAAAGGTATTTGTGATTCATAAGAAAACAAAAATAACCCAACAGAATATGAACAAAGTTATGAAGGGGCAATTCTCAGAAGAAATGCAAATGGCTACTAAACATGAAAAGATGTTCACTTTCAGAAGTAATCAAAGACCTGCAAATTAAAGCTAGGTACTATTTTTCATTAATCAAATTGGCAAAAATTAAAATGACTAATAATATCTACTGTTGGAAGATATGGGAAAATGAACATTCTCATATACTGTGGATATAAATTTTTACTACACCTTCAGAGAATAATTTCAAAGTATATGTCAAGATACAAAATATTCATGTGTGTTCACCCAGCAATTTCACCTATTTACCTATAAAAAACGTTTTTTAAAATCTATTTATTTATTTGGAGACCAGGTTATGAGACTGGCTAATTTTTGTATCTTTGATAGAGGAAGGGTTTCACCATGTAGCCAAGGCTAGTCTCGGACTCCTGGGCTCAAGTGATCCAACCACCTTGGCCTCCCAAAGTGCTGGGATTATAGGTTATGCCACGGCACCCAGCCTCACCTATTTTATCTTACAAATAAACTCTCAAGTATAAAAAACAGACTACAAGAGTGTTCACTGTAGCATTACCTGAAAGAGTTAAAAACTAAGAAAAACTTCAGTAGGAAAACGGTTTATATAAAAAGAATCTGGACTGCATTAGCAACAGCCTCTTACAGCAGTAAAATTCGATGATGGGTTAAATAATTTAACTAGCATTGACTTACAAATTGAGTCATTCATATGTCCCATGAAATAACACAGGATTTAAAAGAACGAGACAGTTCTGTATTTGTCTAGAGACAAATATGCTGTTAAGTAAAAATAGTAAAGTTACTGAAAATACATATAGCATCACCCCTCTATGTAAACAAAAAGGTATTTAAATAGCAAAAGTATTTATTGTGCAATTACTGTACCAGGTACTAAATGCTTTGTATGAATTAATCTTATATAATCTTTGCAATAATCCTACAAGACAAGAATAATTCCCACATTCATTTTACAAAGAAGGAAACTGTGGCATAAAGATATTAAGAAACTTGTGAAAAATCACAGTTATTCAATAGGATAGTAGAGTCAAGATTCAAATGCAAATAGTCCAATTCCAGAATACATTATTTTAACCACTATATTAATATTGCCTCCGAAAAGAAGTAGCTGTTACTCCATCAGTAAAATACATAATTCTTGCCCATTCAGAGACTAAAAATAGGTTAAATAAAATCTTTTTCAACAACCTAAATGCCTACTAACAGAATAATGGCTTGATATTGGTATACTTATAGAATGGAATACATACATTTAAAATGTAGGACTAGAATTACAAACATTACCTCAAAAACAAAAAGCTGCATAAAAATCAAATTTCAGACTGGTATAAACTTTGATATCATTCTTAAAAGTTTTAAAATCTGCAAAACAATATCCTATTTATGTATAAAACATGGGATAATATAAATGCTCAATTCATGACAACAATTACCATTGGTGAGAAGGGAAGAAGAATGGGATCCAGGAAAGGGACCAATGGACCTCAATTTATTTAAGGCAAGTAACTGAAGCACAAAGTTAAAATTGAGTAAAAACAAGTGATGGGTATAGGGATGTTCACTACATTAGCCTTTTTTGTTATCTTTATGTTTGAATTATTTCCCAATAAAGTAAATAAGTTTTAAAGCTCCATGGGTGATGCCAATGTACTGCCAGTTTGGAGAGACAGAAAACATTCAACTTCAAATGCTCGTCTAGACATCTTCTTTTTGATCCTTATAAAGCATCCAGGCCCTGTGACTGACAAATTCTAATCTATTTTTTTTCCCCAACATCTACTTCCAGTCTTTTGGAAATTAATTCAGAGTATAATGTAATCTACAATCTTTGCACATATCTTTGTCAACATCTGCCCTACGGCATATAAATTCCTAGAAAACAGAAAAAAATCTTATTTTCTTAATCTCCCATTGCTGGGTGACCATGTGCCCTGGTTTCCCACCTGCTTTCCTGGCAAAATTATTAATAGTGTTCCCTTTCACTTTCAAAAGTGTCCCACCAGTTTGGATGCTAAGCTGCATGGTCAGCCCATCCACTGCAATAACTTATAGTAGACATGACTGCTCATCTTCTCAGCATGGCTACATATAAAAGACTCAAAAAACATCATAGTACTTTGCTTTCCACTTTCTAAAACTTACCTCTCTTACACATTAAAAGGTACATTTGAACTGCTTCAAAAGCTAAAGAAATTATATGATTTTTTCATTTGTATCACTTTGTGAGGGGGAAATTCAGAAAAGATAATTTGTTTTAAAAATAATGCCTACAGTTGAGGCTTTATATACTCTGCCCTCAAAAAAATTCCAGAATATAGCTAGAATCTTGTGCATTAATTTAAATAACACTCAAAGAAGAATATCAATCTAAAAACGGTAAATAGTAAGCACAAGGTATACAATTTTTTTGACCTAGAACATATTATTTTCTTAACCTAAATCAATTGGGGCCTTTAAAAAAAATTCTGGTTCCTTGCTTTTCATTTTCACAGTTCAAAATTATTGAAACCATAAGTTTAAAGACAACAGGCATATTACCTGCATTTAAATCATTTACTGGCACTTGCAAAGTAGCTGCAACTTTTTTTAAAATGTTCTGCATTTCTGGTCCAGTTTTGAAGGCTTCCACGTGATAAAGAGCTGTAGCATTTTTTTCCACTTCAGTTAAAAACTTCTCACAGTGATCAAAAAATCTCATTAGCTTATCATTAACCCTTGGAGGTCCACACTCCATATCTGAAAGAGAGAAAAATTTATATATATATATATTTGTAAATCACTGACATAAACGAGTTTCAAATTATTGAAAATGTTAAGTGTGAAAAAGGAACACTAACATCTTACTAATCCGCATAGCTGAAATAAGCACATATTGATCAGGAAAGTCATAGGGTAAAATTATTCCTGATTTATAATGTCTGTAATGCATGAGAATAGCTAGAAAAGACTAAAGAAACAGAGATTGAAGATTAAATGTGTTGTAGTGATGCTACGCAATGAACCTGCTTTATACATTTATAAGTACTGCTTCTGTCAGGCACGGAAAACTTGAGAAACCAAACTAAAAATCAGCAAAGTTTCCACTTACAAGGTGAGAGAGAATTCAACATATGGAATCTATTTTTTCACTCTAAGCCAAAGTCTAAACAGAGTATTTTATTTTCTCAATTGACTTTCACAACTCTGTGTTACTTTACAAAAGATTCTGCTTTGGACAAAAACGACTGACAAAAGCACAAAACGCACTGATGTTCCGGGTCTCCTATGCTTCACTGTGCTGGTGCCTGTGACTTAGTTTATCTTCTAACTGAAGCCCCAGATAACTTTCTGTTTAGTCTTTAATAAATTACATTATTCCCCCAATTTGGCAACAAATATGTATTGGAGAAGCATGCATAATCATTCTTCAACTACTGGCATGCCCTTATTTTCAGTCATATTCAAAACACGCTTTTTTTTTCAATCACTTATCCAACAATTTGCCATGAAAAGAACACCAAGTATATCATTTCTGTACATAAAATATGAGAAAACTGAATATAGTTTTATCTGGGCTTTGGATGTGTATGCAAAAAAATATCAATATGTATGTTTAAGTGTCTCTCTTGAAATGGATAATTCTGCCCACTTTGTCAATTGGATTGCAATTCTTAAGAAAATATCTTGACAAGGAAAATAAGCTAACTTTATCACCTTTTTTCTGTGGCTGCTAAAATGTAATTTCCCAAGTGGATCTGGGTATTTTATCCTTGTTACTATCTAATTATTGCTAGTCTTTAAACAAAAACAAAGGCATTGTTCTGTTTCTATAAAACTACAAATCTAATTCAGCAGACTCCCTCAAAAGACCAGATGTACATAATAGGCAAAACTATTGTCTATAGAGAATAACAAAGTGGCTAGGCAAAGGGTTTACCATCTGAGACTGAAAACAGTCAGGAGTGGGCTTATTCCGAACTGTAATATTTTCATCCCTGGCTCTGTACTGAGAGACAAATGCCAGTCTTCACAATGCCATCCGAGAACAAAAATTCACTTGTTCCAGAAAGTCACTACAGATATTGCGTTATATTAAAATATGCTCTGCTTTCAACATTCTGTTAATTTAACAGATTTATGAGGAATTTTCACTCATGTTAATGGAAAAAGTATATCTTTAAAAAAACACAATTCAACAAATAATCAGACACAGGTCAGCTAACTGAATTACCCACAATAACATGACACAGAATCAGTGGAGAAATCCCTTACAGATGGTTTCACTGTTTAACAGCTACAGAAGAAATTACAAACCAGCCTACTTCTAATTTTTCACTTGGGCTTTGAAGCTAAACAATAATCCTCACTTCAATTCTGGCCTTAAAAGTGAACAAGAAACGATTAACGCTTGTTCATCTCTGTGGTACAAAAGTGTTACCTGTTTTTTCTTATCAGGTATGCTATTGGACAAACGGAAGCTATATAGCAAAATGGTAAAGACAGCAAGCTCTCAATCAGATTTCCTGGGTCCACAGCTAGCTGTACGAAAATGGGCAAATTATTTAATGTGTTTGTGTATCAATTTCCTCATCTTTTGAGACGGGGGAAAATACTATCAACTCTGGATTGTGGTTGTAAGGATTTTGTAAAATAAATGTGAGGCATACCTGGCACACAATAAGCATGAGGTGTATGCTATCATTATTATTTGTAACTATTACAACATTTTCTAAGAGAAAAAGACCCATTCTAGGAAAACAGAAGACTTGGATTCTAGACCTTAAAAAAGACAATTAAGAAGGCATACTCTTGGGCTCGGTTTCTTCACCTGTGAAACAATGGGGCCTTACTAGATGATTTCTCAAATTTCGAAAAAGTATAATTAATGGAATAAATGCTGCATGTGACCATGCACCACAGCTACAAAGATGGGAACGCTAGAGTAAAAACATGAACAAAACAGAAGAAAAAAGAAGGGCACAAAGGCTTGAGATCAGGTTCCTAAAACAGGCTGTAGGTCTAAAACTGCCATCTGAAGATGATGATGAGTTTAAAAAAAAAAAAAAAGAAGAAGGAGGAAAAACTAGTATCGGAAGCAAAGCCTGAGAAAGAAAATTCTAGATTCTGTTTTTTAAAAAGTGCGCCCAATTGTGAAACTGGACGCCAGGGAAGGGGGAAGGTATGGGTTGGCGCTCGAAGGGGCAATTCAATTTGGGAATGGGAGCGCAAAAATTGCGGGAGACCTGTCTGTCCCCTTTCCTGTTGGATCCCCAACTCTACTAAAGCAGGGAGCGTGTAGAAGATGCTGAATTTACACCTGATGAATACATGAACATACGTGTAAGGGGAAAAAGAGATAGCCAAGTCTGTAATATCCCGCGACAGGGAGGACGTAGCCCGAGGGATGACGGCTTGGGAAAAAGGGAAAGAGAGCTGTGGGCATCGGAAAAGCCCAGGGTCTGGGGAAGGCAGGAGAGGATCCAAGGCGGGTGGGAGGACCGGGACAGCACACGGGCCGCCCGAGGGATCACCTGCGACGTCGGGCGGCGGCAAGCCAGGGTGGTAATGCTGCCACAGCCCCTGCAGGAAGGCGGCGCCGCTATCCACGCAGCGGTGCTTGGAACTGGTGATGAGCCGCAGGCGGCCGTAGTTCTCACGGCTGAAAAGGGCCGGGAAGAGCGAGGCCAGACGCAGCGCCAGCTGTCGCATATCCTGCCGTCCCTTCTCTACTAGCTGCCCGTCCATCCAGTCAGCGTACCACAAAGGCCAGTCGGCCAGCGCTGCACCCAGGTCGCGGCTGCCGGTACTACTGCCCCCGCCATCCCTGGACCCGCGGGCCTGCAGCAGCCCGTGCAGCTGCCTCAGCTTGCGGATCTGTTTGGCCGTGGGGTAGCGGGTGCCGTGGCGAATGAGGGCGACCAGCTGCACCGGGGTGCAAGTTCCCTCCAGCAGCTCAGGGTCCCGCCACGGAGCTTCGGGGCCCGACAGCAGCCCGGGGTTGACATCCTCGTAGCGAGTCTTGGTGCCGAAATAGGGGCTTAGCGACGAGTCCACCGGGTCCCTCGGCTCTAGAAAAGAGCAGCGCGCAAGCGACGAGAGCAGCGCCGCAGCCAGGGCCGCGGCAGGCGCTACGGAGATCCTGAGGAAGCAGCGGGGCGCGCGGATCATTGTCGATGCAGACCGTGGAGGGCGCCGAGCCGGCTGCCGCTGCCAAGCTTCCGGCTCCGGAGGGCAGGGGGCGGGTCTGGAGGGCGCTTCCGGCCGACGGCCGTCGGGATGCGCCTCGCTGTCGTCGAGGAGGTACCGACAGCTGGCGGTGGGTCCTGCGTCCCGGCGGAAAGCTCCGAGGAGCCCTGTAGTAGACTTGTGGCTCGGGTGGAGCCGGCGGAAAACCCGGAGAAGCTGGAGACAGCCGTGGCTGAGGTGGAGCCGGCGTCGCTGCCCTGGAGCGTGGGCGAGTTTCCTCTTAGCCAGAGCTTCAGGGATTGACTCGAAGACTCCTCCGCTTTTTTAGTTGTTTTGGGTGTGAATAAAGCCCAGACTAAACCTTAGCCTCCCAGGCTGCCAAAACAGGACAGCTGTGATACTGTGTTTTTCAAAGTATAGTGCCTGAACCATCAGCATGAAATCTGCCTGAGACGGTTGTTGAAAATTCACATCGCTGGGCCTTGCCGCAGGGTGCCTCTTGAAGCTCAAGGTGTTTGTCTTTTTTTGTTTGTTTGTTTTTCCATTTGAGTTTGAAAATAAACAGGATACAATAAAGCAGAGAACTTGGAAAGGGGCTTACATTCTGCAGGAATTTTGAGTCCTGAATCTTTGATATAATCTTGACCTGGACTACCAGAGCTCATACGGACATCAGTGAGACAGCACCCTCAAAGTTTTGTGCTTGTTGATCCCGAAGGCTTAGCGAGTAGAGACATAGCAATCTGGAAAATTTGGGTGCATTGAGTCATGGCCCAGCAGATTTACTCTATTATTAAGTATGAGCTAATCTGCTTTGTGAAGCAAACATGCTCTGTATTTACCACCACTCCAGATACATGTGTTCCTCATACGTTCCTCCCATATACTTACATACTCAAATCAGCAGCTGGGTTTTTTAATAGGTTATTGCTCAGAATCTTTGCCTGATCCAAAAAATCATAAATCTGAACAATACGTTGTTTTTTCCCACTTAAACTCCAGTTTATATGCCAGCTGGGGAAATAATAAGTATTACAAAAGTCGTATGGTGATCCAGATTTAAGGAACTTGGGACCGCGTTTTCATAAGTTAGCTTTTCCTTCAAAGAAACTGTTACATTTCTCTTTGTAAGCCCATCACCATCTTTACTCCTTTTCTCTTTAAGTGTCTCCTTGGTTTAGAGAGGTGTGCCTCTAAGTTTAGGCGTGCCTGTAAATGTTAACCAAGAAGAAAAGGGGCCAACCTATGAATGCTGAAATTTTGGAGACGTTCTGTGCAGGAAACCATCTTTAGGGCAACAGATGTTCTTTTTGATATGCTATTTTGTAGCATGTCAATGCCTGAATATTCATGGCCAGTGATATTTTTGTAGAACTTTGCTTAAATTAGTACTTAGTAAATATCCGCTCCTTCTTAAAATAGACATTCTAACCTGTATGCTCTATAGGATGAGTTGCCTGATATTTCTAAGTGCATTCAGCGAGCATTTGTGCCAGGTTCATCTCACTGTATTTTGCCTAATACATATGCTTATTAATGATCACTTCTCATACCCAATGTTTTGAGTCCTAGGGGTTACCAAGTGTTCCCAAAGTCATTATTCACTTCTTATGAAGCAATCTTTAGAGACTCTTACTTACAAAATGTATGGCACAGCACATATTTTTATACATGAAACTTGCCCGTAGTTTGATTTTACTTTCCTTATCCTAATTCCTCATCAGTTGATTTTATCCTGTTTTATACACTTAGGTACATCTGCTCCTAATTATTTTGATGTTATGCCAAGATAACAATGATAAAGTAAAAGTAAGCAATACCTCCTTGTTTTTGGCTAGGGAAAAGCCAAATATAGTATAAAGAAGACAAAGAGTACTTAAGCTTTGGACCCAGACTCTAATTACCTCTGTTGCTGATTCATTGAGTGATCTTGGGAAGTTACCATATTCTCTGGGCCTTAGTTTTTTTGTGTGTTTTTTTTTTAAACTGAAAATTGGTAATATTAGAACCTATATCATGGGATTATCATGATAATCAGAGATGATGTATTTAAAATGCATATAATAGGCTGCTATAAATATTTTTATCGTTACTAATGTTATTACTATGTTCAGAGTAGAAACTATGATTTCAGAGTGAGAACTATGTTTTCAGAGTGGAAAAGAGAAGAAGTTTAACTTGATGTTCTTACATTAATGGGTCTTGAGTAGAACTTCATTTCTAATCAATCCACTATATTAGTCATCATTACTAATGTTCAGACATTGACATGCTACAAAATAGTATATCAAAAAGAACATCTGTTGCCCTAAAGATGGTTTCCTGCACAGAACGTCTCCAAATTTTCAGCATTCATAGGTTCGCCACTTTTCTTCTTGGTTAATATTTACAGGCACGCCTAAACTTAGAGGCACACCTCTCTAAACCAAAGAGACACTTAAAGAGAAAAGGAGTAAAGATGGTGATGGGCTTATAAAGAGGAATGTAACAGTGTCTTTAAAGGAAAAGCTAACTTATGAAAATGTGGTCCCAATAATAGAACTGATGCCTAGCTTTCTAGCAATTATATGGATTATACTTACTCCCACTGAACAATAAGGTGAATGACTTTCACAGGCACCACATGCATGAAAGATTATTTCATAACTTTTCTAATGATAAAAATCCACTCATCTCACTTAAAATGGATATCTCATTCTTAGAGCACTAAGCAGCCTTTGAAAAAATTTAGAAGTCACTGGCCGTGCTCATCGTTTCATACCAGACCATGTCTGAATTATCTGGGCAGTCTGTAAATTGGCTGCCCTTTGACATAGGTGACCACTTGGTCCAATCATGTAGTACAGAGAAGTTTGCAGTGTGCAAAACATGGCTATCCTTTTGCAGAGATCATGGGAAAATCGCCTCCCCTCATAAGAAATTGGTAGTATGGGAGCAATATATTTGGCAAATTAACAGAATACAAGAGGCAGAAAGGAAAATTAATGGTTCAAGGTCCTTGCAGAGATGGGAGAGGATGGAACCAAAAACACAGGTAGAGATTTTGATTTGGGCCAGAAGGAGATGAGACCTTATCTTCTGAGGGAATGTTAGAAGGATGGGTGAACATGAGGATAAATTTGTAGATCTGGCAGGAGGGAGTTCACGGAATTCAAGCCTGATGGCCTCAGTTTCCACAGTAACATAGGAGACAAGTTTGAAAGATGGGGGAATAGGAATTAAGTCTTGGAATGTGGAAGTGGTTTGTATTTGTAATTGAGAGAAATGGGAAAATAATGGGAAAGGATTGACAACTAAGAGGAATGGGAGAAACAAGTAGAAGTTTGTATGGTCAGCTCTGGAGATCCAACTGAGAATGAATTGCTAGTGGTTGTGCAATTTTATTTAGAAGCAAACATTATCTGTTGTATTTTTTCAGAGTGGAAAAGAAAAAAAGTTTAACTTGATGTTCCTACATTAATGGGTCTTGAGTAGAACTTCATTTCTAATCAATCTACTATACTAAAGGATAAGCTCAATTATTTTTGCTAGATTATCCATAGGACTTCAAAAATAGTCATTCCACTTTTAAGATTACGTGGTGTCGACCAGGTGTGGCGGCTCACGCCTGTAATCCCAGCACTTTGGGAAGCTGAGGTGGGCGGGTCACCTGAGGTCAGGAGTTCGAGACCAACCTGGCCAACATGGTGAAACCCCGTCTCTAGTAAAAATACAAAAAAGAAGCTGGGCATGGTGGCAGATGCCTGTAATACCAGCTACTTGGGAGGCCAAGGCAGGAGAATCACTTGAACTTGGGAGGTGGAGGTTGCAGTAAGCCGAGATCATGCTGTTGCACTCCAGCCTGGGCAACAAGAGCAAAACTCCATCTAAAAAAAAAAGAAAAAAAAAATAGATTACATGGTATCATATATAGTATTTTAAGTTACAGCCATCTACTTTTAAAGAGGTTACTAAGATAGTTTTCTGGGGATGAAACAATAAAGGAAAGGAAACAGCTAAATTCTGTAGGGAAATAGGAAGGCTCTCTATGTAAGCATATACAATACTGGACTAAGAACATAGTCTCAGAAGTTAGACTTTCTGGTTTTCAGATTCCAGCTTCATCTCTTACTACCTGTAAATATTAAACAAATTAAATTATTTTGCCTCAATTCTTTTTAATTGTAAAGTGGGGATAATAACACCTAGTCATGAGACTGTTGAGAGGATTAAACAGTTTACATAAAGACTTTATATAGTTCCTGCCCCAAAATAAATATCAGTTGCTTTTATTAAGCAGAATTAAAGGGTTTCTTATTATCACTTCTCTCTTAATCAAATAAACTGACGAATAGTTTTTCATAGTTATTTATTATCTCATAACTACATTGAGCAACGAACTTTGTGCCTATGCCAAGAAAGTTTGAGCTTTCTTATCTTTCTGCCCTACTGTTGCATCATTCCTTTTAACAGTTGCCAGATGTTGATTTAGTGTTTATTTGCTTTTTGTTGCAGTGGAAGCCAACAGAAGAGGGGTCCATGTGTACAGATAGGGCTGGAGTGATCCATGTTCCAACAGCAGGCCATTTAACCTCACTTGAATATGGAGGCTGCATAGGTCACAAGTCTGAAGACTACAAGCTACCTTTGCTTAAAAGGAACCACACCATCACTGATAGCTAACTGCTAGACTGTTCTCCAGCATATCAGGGCTACACTGAATTGCTTGAGTTGCGCTTCAATTAATGTAGAGAACTTCACCGAACCACACATAACCATTGAAGTAACCTGCTGTTTACAGTCTATCATGCTCTGCCAAGGGAGTTATTTTATAGTGACAAAACTTCTCTTCTGGTGCCCTGACACATCCTAGGACTTTGATGTTGGTAATTCTTTCCCCCCAGCAAATGTTGGTTCTAAATCCACAGAACTACTTGAGAAACCAGATGCAAAATTATGGTAGGTTTAAATTATCAATATTCTTTATATGTTTTGCTATTCCCATTTCAAAGAGGGAAACTAGCTATACATTTTCTAGTCCTGTTCTATGGTGATTTTCCTGCACAAACCAAAATTATTGTTCAGAAATATAATTTCCCCCAGAAGTACCCTCCATCCAAAACATAATGTTACTCTATCACAAAGATAAATAATGGCTTTCCAAATCCTGGTTTAAAAAAACCAAACACTCTCTTCTTCTCTATATTTTTCCAGAACAGGCATAGATGATAGCAGTTATGTTTTACCATCTTATTTTTTTTTTCTGAAATGTTAGTTTTCTAGGATATGGAAATCTTAGGATTCATAAAAAAAAAGAAAAGAACTTTTTGAAATGTTAGTTTTCCAAAATTGGAAAATCTTTTTGAGTCATTCTATCTTTAGGACTATTGGTTAGCTGACTTTAGAGCATTTAATATTTCCTTATTATTTCAAACAATAGAGAACTTTCTGCCCCCCACCCCCCTTCTTTTTGAGACAGGGTCTGGCTCTGTCACGCAGGAGACTGTCTGTAGTGCAGCGGCAGAGTCTCAGCTCACTGCAACCTCCGCCTGGGCTGAAGTGATCCTTCCACCTCAGCCTCCTGAGTAGCTGGGACTATAGGTGCAGGCCACCACATCTGGCTACTTTTAAACAATAGAGAACTTCCAAAACAAAAGTTATTTATTAATTCTTCAAGAAATCTGTTTTTTACTTAGTCGATTAATGTCCATTTCATGTTGCCTCAGTAGCCCATGTAGGAATCACTCTTTTTTCAGATTTTGTTCAGTTTTGTTGTATATAGACCCATCGTTCTTTGATTGAGTTGCTTTGTATTATATATCAGTCAGTATGAAAACCCAAACAGTATCTAAGCCAGAAAAGCAACGTAGGCACCTGTGAACTCACACACTTGGTTGCAATTGCTTCAGTAAAAAGGACAGTTTACACTCAAATTGAAGCAACCTTTATGGTTCCACAAACATTCCTTATTATCCCACCTCACCTTTTCATTCTTACTTCCTATGCTGTCTAATCTGATTCGGTACAAGAGATAAGGCGGGTACTGCTAAATGATAACTTAGATGCAGGGGCCATCATGAAAATATTCATCCCATATCTTACATTAAGCAAACTACCAACAACTGTTTGTTGAAAAGTATAAATGAATAAATGAAAATAAGATAGGCAATGTGGGAAGCTAAAATATGGAAGTGTTGTTGCTTCGCTTTACGTGGTATAACGATCTCATTTTATCTTCCCAGCTCTCCCAGGAGGTATGCAGAACAATATTTATCTCATATTGCGGATGTGGCAATCAAGACAGAGAGGCTAAATGCTTTACCTAAAGTCGTCCAACAAATATTTGGTAGAACCAGGGCTAGAATGCAATAAATGGAAATAGAGTTATTTCGGTGTTTCTTTTCCTGATACTTGCCTTATTCATGACAAATGTATAATGGCTTCAGAAGGTGTCACTTGTTGCTAGGGATAAACTTTACCTGTAATACTGTAGCACTTACTATTAGTTAACGACCCACTATTTATTCTCTTTTTGTCTTTGGAATCTTTGGAATGTGTAAGTATTTGCCTCCCAGGAAGCTCTCTTTATCCTCTCCTCAGGAGAAAATCCTGATTTGGTCTAAACCAATCTTGGTAACTATCTTTCTTGCCAGTTTTGTTTTAGGAATGGGCGTGCAACTCAGTTCTAGCCAATGAGATATGAGGAGCAGTCTACTGGGGAGTTTCTGGGAAAGTTTGTTTTTCTTGTCCTAAGAAATAAACAAATAATGGGGTAATAAAGCTTCAACACTTTGTGAGATCACTGGATTGGAGATCCTGTTGAGTCAAAGGAATATTGAATTTGACACAGTAAAATAGCCTGTAAGGAAAGGAAATGATATTCAGTAAATGAAATGCTGAAAATTGATATTTTGAAGGTGGTGCAGTAGTTGTTACTGATTAAATGAAACAGTTGAGATTAAGAAAGTTTAGCCAGGACAAGTTATATAGCACAAATCATTTGAGATAAGGAGGTTAAAAAAAACCCTGAGAGGCCGGGAAGTCCTGGTTCCAAACTTCTGCTCTTGCTGGACTTGAGCCCCACTAGCTTCTTGTCTTCCACTAATCTATGCACCCCTCCTTTCCCACTGCTAAAAAGCCAAGCTCACTCAACAACTTTAATTTTATTCAAATAAATTATTTTATACAGACATTTTGTTTTTAGTAGATGTTATTAGTGATTAGGAAAAATGAAAGAAATTGACATCTTTCAATTGACAGAGATGCCAGTAATTTTAAGTATAATTTTTTAAACACTTTTTTCTTAAAATGAGAAAGAAATGCAAGGACGGGATTACTGCCCTGCTCATTGGCATGTCCAAATATGATAGCTAGACCTGCTGCAATTATCTTGCAACCAGGAAGGAGCTAGCTTGAAAATAAAGCCAACACAGTGAGATGACAGAGCAGAAAGTGGAAAGAACCTAAGTCCTTGATGATGCTATTGAGCTGATGAATTAAACCTGGAGTGTATCTACCATGGGCGTCTATAAGGAATTAAAATATCTTTACTGTTTAAACCAGTGTTTCATTGTTTTCCGCAGAAATCCTAATTGGCATAAACTATTGACCAATTAACCCCATTGCAACCTCACCTGACCCCTTAGGATGTCCTTTCATGCTTTTCTTGATTTTATTGAAGTTATGTATTGAGAATAATAGAAAATCACAGAAGGTGATTTTCTGATCCTATCTCCTTAGCTATGACCTTGTGTCTCTGGCTCATGATCATGGTTTATGAAGCATGGGAAGCACTGGGAAAAGTAGGAAGTAGGTAGTTAAGATGAGATGTCTGATGATGGAGGTTATTGGGGTCAGGACAGGTGGGTAGGCAAGGTGAAGTGTGTAAGCTAAGCAGGAAATGCAAATGAAAATCAGAGAGAAGGTACCTCTTCAGAACAGATTCTTAGAAAGCCATTATTAGGAACATATGGGCCACATCTTTGAGAAGCGTTGTGGAATTCACATTACAGTAATGGCATCACTTAGATTCATGCTCTTCTCTCACAGAGAGAAATCAATGTTTATAGGATGTCGAAGGGTCTTCATCATATGTCTTAGTCTGTATTCATTGCTATAAACGAATACCTAAGGCTGGATAATATATAAGGAAAAGAGGTTTATTTGGCTCACACAATTCTGCAAGCTGTAGAAGAAGCATGGCACCAGCATCTGCTTCTGTTGAGGGCCTCAGGAAGCCTCCATCATGGTGGAAGGCAAAGGGAAACCTGTGTATCACATGGTCAGGGAGGAAGAGAGCAAGAGAGGGGAGGAAGGTATCAGATTCTTTCTAACAATAAGATCTCATGGGAGGTAGGAGTGAGAACTCAATCCCATGAAGACAGCACCAAGCCATTCATGAGGGATCTGCCCGCATAACCAAAACACCTCCCAGTGGGCCCCATCTCCAACATTGGGGATCAAATTTCAACATGAGATTTGGAGGAGACAAACATTCAAACTGTATCATTGTGCTTGTTTTCTTCAGAAATAGACAAGATTGATATGTTTCATGATGACATTATGATCTAAAAATGAGAGTTTATTTCAGTTTGTCCTGTATACACCCAAGAGGTCCAGGATATTATTCTCTCTGTCTGCCACAAGTCCTGCAAACTATAAGATGGCCTTAACATTCAATCTAGGGTGGTTCTGCCCAATGACCTTTTGTCTTTCCTAAGTGTCTTCCAAAGAACATAGTAATAGTCTATCATGAATTATATGAAAGCTGTTTACATGGATTAAACAGCAAATCTGACAAAGAGGCTGCTCTTTGATGACTCTAGACATATTTATGCTTAATATTTTAGACATTTGAGAAAAAAGTCAATTTATTAATACTTTATGTTCAATTGAGTTTGAAGCCATAAAGAGGAAAGGAATAATAAGGATTAGAGCAAAACTAAATGAAATAGAGAATAGAAAAACAATAGAGTCAATGAAACAAAAAATTATTTCTTTGAAGAGATCAGCAAAGTTGACAAAACTTTAACTAGATTAAGAAAAAAGAATATTCAACAAATAAAATCAGAAATGAAAGACAGTACTACTGATTTATAGGAATAAAAAGGATTGTAAGAGAATACGTATAATAGCTACATGTCAAAAAATTGGATAGTCTAGATGAAATAGACAAATTCCTAGAAACACACAAACCAACAAAACTGACTCAGGAAGAAAGAGTAAATCTGAATAGATCTATAAAAAGTAATGATATTCAATTTTGGTTGAATCAGCAACCAAAACTCTCCTAACAAAGAAAAGCCCAGGAACTGATGACTTCACTGGTGAATTCTACCAAACGTTTAAAAACGAATTAACACTAATCCTTCTCGAACTCCTCCAAAAAATTGAGAAACAGAATCCTTACTGAGTCATTCTATGAAGTCAACATTACCCTGATACCAAGGCTAGACAGGAAATACAAGAAAACTATGGCCAAATGTCCCCTATAAATGCATTATAGATACAAAAATCCCCAGCAAAATGCTAGGAAATTAAATTCAGCAGCCCTTAAAAGAATTATACACCATGACCAACTGAGATTTATCCCAGAAATGTAAGAGTGGTTTAACATATGAAAATCAGTCAATGTAATACACCAAGTAATAGAATGAAGAAGCGAAAAATTCATGATCATCTCAATTGATATAGAAGAACATTTGACAAAATCCATTACTCCTTTATGATAGGAATGTTCAATAAACCAGGAATAGAAAGGAACTGTCTCAACATGATAAAGACCATGCATTAAAAACTCACAGCTAACATCATTGTCAATGGAGAATAATGTCAAGCTTTTCCACTAAAATCAGAAGACATGGATGCCTGTGTTTGCCACTTCTATTCAACATAGTATTGGCAGTTCTAGTCAGACCCATTAGGCAAGAAAAAGAAACAAAATAAATCCAAATTAGAAAGGAAGAAGTAAAACTATCTCTGTTTGCAAGTGATATGAGTGTAGAAAGCCCTAAAGAATGCGAAAAATAGCCTCTTAAAGCTAATAAACAAATTTAGTAAAGCTTCAGAATACAAAATCACACAAAAATCAGTCATGTTTCTACACACTAGCAGTAAAAAATCTGAAAAGGAAATTAAGAAAGTTTCATTTACAGTAGTACCCAAAAGAATAAAATATTTAGAAATCAATTTAACCAAGAAGGCAGAAGACTTGTACACTGAAAACTACAAAACATTCTGGAAAGAAATTAAAGTAGACTTAAATAAATAGGAAGAGATCCTGTGTTCATAAGTTGGAAGACTTAATATTGTTAAAATGACAACGTTACTCAAAATGATATGTAGAGTCAATGTAATCACGCTATTAAAATCCCAACAGTGCTTTTGGCAGAAACGGAAAAACCTATTCTAAAATTCATATAGAATTTCAAGGAACCCAAAATACTCCAAGGCAAAATAATCTGAAAAGGAACAAAGTTGTAGGACTCACACTTTCTGATATTAAAATTTACTACATAGCTATAGTAATTGAAATAGCATGGACTTGGCCCAGAGATAGACAATATAGACCAATATAGACCAATGGAACAGAATCGAGAGGCCAGAACTAACACTCACATCTATGGTTAATTAATTTTTAGCAAGGGTTCCAGGACCACTCAATGGGGAAAAGGACAATCTCTTCAACAAATGGTGTTGAGGAAACTAGATATCCACAAGCAAAAGAATGAAGTTGGACCTATACCTTTACATAATGTACAAAAATTAACTCAAAATGGATCAAAGACCTAAATTTAAAGCTATGAAACACTTAAATATTAAATGCTATAAAACTCTTAGAGGAAAACATATTGAAAAATCTTCATGACCTTGGGTTTGACAATGGTTTCTTTTTTTTTTTTTTTTTAATTTATTTATTATTATTATACTTTAAGTTGTAGGGTACATGTGCGTAACGTGCAGGTTTGTTACATATGTATACTTGTGCCATGTTGGTGTCCTGCACCCATCAACTCGTCAGCACCCATCAACTCATCATTTACATCAGGTATAACTCCCAATGCAATCCCTCCCCCCTCCCCCCTCCCCATGATAGGCCCCTGTGTGTGATGTTCCCCTTCCTGAGTCCAAGTGATCTTATTGTTCAGTTCCCACCTATGAGTGAGAACATGCGGTGTTTGGTTTTCTGTTCTTGTGATAGTTTGCTAAGAATGATGGTTTCCAGCTGCATCCATGTCCCTACAAAGGATGCAAACTCATCCTTTTTGATGGCTGCATAGTATTCCATGGTGTATATGTGCCACATTTTCTTAATCCAATCTGTCACTGATGGACATTTGGGTTGATTCCAAGTCTTTGCTATTGTGAATAGTGCCGCAATAAACATACGTGTGCATGTGTCTTTATAGCAGCATAATTTATAATCCTTTGGGTATATACCCAGTAATGGGATGGCTGGGTCATATGGTACATCTAGTTCTAGATCCTTGAGGAATCGCCATACTGTTTTCCATAATGGTTGAACTAGTTTACAATCCCACCAACAGTGTAAAAGTGTTCCTATTTCTCCACATCCTCTCCAGCACCTGTTGTTTCCTGACTTTTTAATGATCGCCATTAAATATAACATCAAAAGTACAAGTGATGAAACAACTGATAAATTGGACTTCATCAAAATTGTGCATCAAGTGACACTATAAAGAGAGTGAAAAGATAACACAAAAAATTGGAAAAAATGTTTGCAAATCATATATCTGACAAAAAACTAATATACAGAATGCATAAAGAATCCTACAACTCAACAAATAAAAGATAAATAACTCAATTTTTTTAATGAACAAAAGACTTAGACACTTCTCTAAAAAAAAAGACATGCAAATAGTCAATAAGCAACTCAAAAGATGCTAAAACCACAATGAGATACCACTTTATACCTACTAGAATGGCTATAATTAGAAGAAAAAATAACTAGTGTTGTTGAACATGTGGAGAAATTGGAAACCTAGTATATAGCTGGTGAGAATGTAAATGGTTCAGCTGCTGTGGAAGATAGTTTGGCAGTTCCTCAAAATGTAAAACAGAATTATCACCCAGTAATTCTACTCTTAAGTATATACCTGATATAGTTTGACTGTTTGTCCCTACGCAAATCTTATGTTGAAATGTAATCCCCAATGTTAGAGTGGGGC